AGATAAATTCAATGACCACATTAGAATCATACCAAACAGTTCTTTAGGAATTTCTCCAGACAGGTTATTAGAAGAAAGATCAATAATGCCAGCTCTAAAGTATGCAAAATATTGGTAGTCTAACTCTCTTCCCTTAGTAAATATGCGCGTCATTTCACCAAGATCCAAATATGGGTTGATGTTATTTGCATTTGTGATGTTGTATAAGCAAGAAGGTATAGATCCAAAAAGCTTATTATTAGCAAGCTGTAGTATCTGCAGAGAAGAGAGCATGCATATTCCTAGTAAACTTCCAAATTTCGTGCCATATACAAATCTAGCAAACTTCCAGAAAATTTATTTTTCTCCAAAATGAGGTATTGCAAATATCCCCAGTTTAGCATGTCCGAGGAAAATTTGCCAAAGAAACTATTATCACTCAAATCCAACCATTGAAGTTCCAATGAAGCAAATGAAGGAGGAACTTTACCTGTTAGCTTATTACTCCCTAAACTAAGGCATAATAATTGTTTCCAACTGGTCCAACAATTAGGAAGTGTTCCACTCAAATGATTATATGACAAGTCCAATTCAACCAAGTTGCTTCCTATGTTACCCTCTAATTGGCACAATAATGAGAAAATAGATCCCGATAAGGAGTTGTGAGATGCATGAAAATAACAGATATTTGCTAATAGTGTGACATTAGATATGTCATCACTAATTAAGTTATTTGAGATATCTGCATCTTCTATTCCTACTACAAAGTTCTAAAATATATCCTTATCAACTGTTGAAATCCCTGATCCAGAAATATCTAATTTTCTTAAAGACTGTTCTGTATATAGCCATGGTAGAATATTAGGACCTATGCTTGTGTTGCCCATATACAATATTTCAAGTTGGAATGATGGTACCCATTCAGGATCAAAGTCAGATTTGCAACTATTTGAACTCAAGCCCAATATTGTTAAACTTGAGAGACCGGAGAATTTTTTTTATGTAAGAACACCACCCAAGAAATTGTGGCTCAAGTCCAAGTGGTTGAGAAATTGAAGTTAAAGAGCACACAGATTAATTTCACCTTCTAGGTAATGACCAGAAAGAGAAAGCTTTGTTACCCTTCCAATGATGTTGTCGCACTGAACTCCCCACCATAAACAGCAATCTTCTTCAACTGTCCAAGGAGAGAGTGGGTTCTCTATATCAACCACTCCTTGGTTTAAGATTAAAAGCAGCCTTTTATCATTTTCATTGCAACCCATGAACCTGTTTGACATAGCCATATTTCTGCTGAATGTTGTTGCAAATAGCAGAAACAACAAAACAAAACAAATTCGTGAAGCGAAGCTGGCCGTTGTGGTAAGTTTGAGTATAATGGCCTAATGAAGCCCTTACATGATATATATGTGTGTGTATATATATATACTGGAAAATCTAAAGTAAACAAGAGTTTAAATGCTTAAAAATTTATAACCACATGATATGCATTGTGAAGGCCAATAGCCTAGTGATTTTTTTTTATTTTAAAAAATGCTTGCAAAGAAAACAAATCCTATACGGGCTCCACGAATGGCATGGAGTTTAATTCTTACCATATTTTTATTACTTATTGAAGGAGCATATATACAGACACATATTGAAGTGAAAGTGAATTCATTTTGTTTATTTTTGTTGTAACCACTTCTTTTCGATGGTTAGGTCTTCTAACATTTCCAAGTCTTTCTATCTTTTCAAAGAAAAGTTCAAATTTTTGCATCACAAGTTTGATTTTATAGAGAAATTTCCTGGAGGTAATTATTATGCGGACAATAACAAATTGCAAATCTTTAAGCGCGGCCTAAAAATTAAGTTTAATTGATATACTTTTTCAAAGAAAAATTGCACATAACTTTCAAAAATAACAGTAGACATGCCCTCCCAAAATGGAGGAAAAACGCAACGAAAGAGTTGCTATCAGCAAGAATGATGTCTACTGTGGAAAATAAGAGCTTTTTTTTAATATATATATATATATATATATATATATATATATATAGTTACCAACGTAATGGGCAGTTTTAGTTTTATTTTATTAAAAACAAAATTCTGAAGGTAGGGAAGAATAACATAGGAAGATTGATGGGTGGCAATTTAGTATTTTTAAATTTATATTTTAATATTTAGTTGTTGTAAATAATTATAATTTGTATGGTCATTCTCAAGAAATATTATACTCTTTTTCAGAGCAATAAATATTATGCTCTACGTACAGGTGATTCGTTTTAATTTTCTAACTAAACAATTCATTGGGGAAAAAGAGAAGGAAAGTAAATTAAACGCTGATGGGAAAAAAAATCAATTCATTATCTTAGTGCGATAGCATACGATGACTTCTGCTTTATGCTGCGACCAAATATTAAACGCAAGCAATATCTTTAATAGCCAAATCCTACACCTAAACGCAAAAATAATAAAATAATTGAACTAACTTTTCTCAAGGGTCTTGAGTTCCCATTGCTTTCCATTAATCACTTTTATCCATATACATATATAAGCAAGGGAGAAACAGAAAAAAAAAGCTGGAAATTGCAAATGTCAAATCAAATTTGATAACACAACTTTATTTGGTATTAACAAGTCTGAATTTTCAAATGACAACAAATTTTTGTTGACATTCTTTATTTGACATTTACAAAATTTCAACTTTTTTTTTTGTCATTGTTCCTATAAGCAATGGGCCACATGATGACATATATTAAACAATGGGCCATGTGATGACATGTCATCAAAATATTAAGCCACGTCATCTAGTGTCTCATATACTCCTCTGGTCCTATTTATAGGACAGAGAGAGAAGGTATTTTTTGGTCCTATTTATAAGGCACTGAGAGAAATTTTTTGTATGGATGTACAATTTTACCCCTCATTTATTATTGTGTTGATTTTGGTTATATGAGGTATAATACATATTAAATAGGGATAAAATTAGAAAGTCATTCAATTTTAAATGAAAGTTAATGAAGTTTAAAGTTTTCCTTGGTCTGTGTGAAACATGCTGGAACTGCTTTATAAATAGGACCAGAGGAGTATATGTTGTGGCCCCTCTTATCACATGGTATTAATATTATTAATGCTTAATATTTGGGCTTAGCACTAGTGGAAGTCATCAGATATTTTCCAGCGGCGTGTAATTTACTTTCCTTCTCTTTTCATGCCCTTATCTTCTAACTTGTTTACGCGCTTACTGAAAAGCAACGGCCGCTTCGTTCTCTTGGAAAAAAGTCATTTGAAAGCTAAATTATTGTTGAAAATTGCTGGGAAGGTCCTTAAAGTTAATTAACGTGTCTTTGTTTCCAAGGTTTTGCAGAATTATTGCTGGGTATGTAGTGTATATAAATTTATTGAGAAAAGTGATTAATCAAAATCAAATGGGGACTTAAGACCCCAAAGAAAAGTTAAAAATGAAGGAAAGTGATGGAAAATAATTTAATTTATCATCTTAGTGGGATAGTATTTGACGACTTCCTCTCTGAGGGGTGCTCAAATACTATTCTCATCTTTAATATAAAAGCTATTCAAAAAATTGAATTTGGTCATATCTCAATTCACTTTGTCTTTCATCTTTTCCTAAGATATCCTTATTAATTATAAAGGGTTTTCACTAAAGGATAATTCTAATTATCTAATATACATTATTAAAGAAGATAGTTTAGGGAGACCAATATATATTTGTGACAAATAATCAACTAACCAATTTTCTTAATATCCTCCTATTAGTTATTTAGCTTTTACATTAAAAACTGGAATCAATACTAAGCACATCTTTTTTTCCTTTTTTGGAGTAACCTCACCCACTATCCTAGGCCAGTCCCTAGTCAGGAGAACTCAATAGGCCCAGACTAATTCAGATTCAAGCCTTGTGAGGACCATTTTGGGTGTTAGCTCTACCAGTTGCACTGTTGTTTTTAAACGCATCTTTAATAACAAAAGCCTACACTGAAACACAAAAATTGTAAAATTATTGAAAAGTAATGGCAGCTCTTAACTCTTGGGAAAAGTCATCAAAAGTTGTATTGATGAAGATAATGTTAAAAAAATTGTTGGAAAATCTTTAATTAAACCGTGGAACACGCAACAACCAAACAATATGATGTTTCATTCATTACTATTAGTAATTTATAAGCAGGCTCCCCTTCTCTACAAAAATGTCTCCTTTATGACTCGAACCCAAAGGGATCTAGAAAGACCTCACATTGCTAGACCAACTCTTTATTGGTATAATTTTCTTCATTCCATATGCATATATAATTGATCTAATTATTAAGGGAGAAAAAGATAAAGAACCTCTAAATTATATAATTTTGATATTACATGAAAATTCCCTTTTCATATCAAATCAAATCCAATCATAATATGTGCTCATTAATGGATGGAACCCAAACAAAGGATTACTTCCTTAGATCCTACTTATAAGATTCACTTTGTAGTATAAATTACACTACAAAATGAATTTTATGATTAGAATCAGAGGTAGTATAAGTATCTTCTTTTTTGCCCATCTCACCAATGTTTATCTACAAATCCACATCCTTAATCCTTGACTGTTACAATTTTAACTGCTTGGGAATTACCGTTGCCTGTTGTAAAGTAAGAATATAAATAATAATTGAAGAAGCAAGTCATTGCGCCTCAATAATTCGTTGTGAGTGTAGTTTAGAAACATACTCCAGTGTTGTTGTGCATCTGATTTGAGCCAACTTTGTTATTTAATGGTTATTATGTTTAGTAGTGGAGAGATTATTTGATTTCGTAACCTAGCCAAGGCATGACTGTTATTTCAAACACAACGAAACAGAGCATCTCAAGTGTCGAAACAGATCCTCCTAGCCAGCTGCTTTACGGCGATTCCACTGTGTTGCAGATTTCAATTTTTGATATCTTCAACATCGAAAAAGAAAATTTATTATCAATTCCAAAAGCATACTTGAATCTTTCATCATTGAAATAGAAAATAATCGAAGTCTTAAAAGCACAACAATACATGACTTGGAAAACCATTCAGCAAAGGCTTTTCTGGGACATGACAACACACACACATACTCTGATAACAATTTTACTACAAAGTAGAGAGATGACAATCTGTAGGAAACATTAGACACCTCGGACGATGTATGGCTGCAGCAGACCTCTCTATTCCCTGAAACAAAATATGAGATTCGAATGAATTTGAGAGGAAGTCATTGGAACATAGCATGTAGCAGATAAAAGAGAAATAACTAACTGTCAAAAATATTGTACCGGCATATGCTTGCTGCTGCGCTCATATCCCGTACGGAAAACATATCGGACAATAAAGGGAATGTGTCAAGAAATGAATTTATTTTGTGGCAAGAAGAAAGCGAAAAGGAAAATAAAACCTTATTAAAACAAGTATAGGACATCAGATCGGTTAATTACCTCAACAGCAATCTGCATGTAATTTTAATATTCATTGGAAGCTTTTTTTCAACTTGAGGGCCACAATAACATAAAGTCGATCCACCAGAAGATGAAACAATTGAAAAAATTTGTGTTTCCATGCTCTGACGAGGAAGGGAGAACCACAGAACCCCCAAAAACCTGCTGCAAATCATACTCCCATCCCAAGATATAATGACTTCAGAAAGTCATCATCTTCCTTTCCTTCAGCTAGCTGGCTTTGAGTCATTAGAAGCTTCTTGCCCGAAGCACTTCTTTGGTAGAGGATCCCCACAAAGATCATTGCCAACAAAACTCCGTAGGTCAAAACTCTGAATTTGGGTTCCCAATGGGATTTGTCCAGTGAAATTGTTGTATGAGAGATTCAGATAATCAAGAAAAGACAAATTAGAGATGGTCGAAGGAATTTCTCCAGAAAGCTTATTATAGCTGAGTTAAGAGATTCCAAGTTTTTCATGCCACCAATTTCTTTGGGAATCTTCCCAATCAAATGGTTTCGATTCAAGTTTAAGGACCACATCTGATCTAAGTTAAACAATTCCTTAGGAATTTCTCCAGACAAATTGTTAGTGGAAAGATCAATGCTATGCACGAGTATAAGGTCCTCGAAATCCAGTTCTCTTCCTTTAGCAAAGACTGCTATCTCATCTGTAGGATAATATTCCTTAATCGGCTGCATGATTTTATATAGGCAATGTGGTATAGGTCCTGAAAGATTATTCTCAGCCAGATCCAATATTATCAACCTAGCAAGGTTACATAACTGTGATGGAATATTGCCTATAAATCGGTTTCCCCTCAATTTGATGACACCTAAATTTTGTTGCATGGTATTTGGCAAAGTTCCAGAAAATTTATTTCCCTCTAAATTGAGGTACTCCAAATTTGTCCAGTCCAACAAGTCCAATGAAAATTTTCCAAAGAAATTATTATGGCTCAAATCCAGCTGCATGATGTTCACTAATGAAGGCATTAAGGGAGGAACTTTACCTGTTAGCTTATTACTCCCAAAACTAAGGAATAGTAGTTGTTTCTGGTTGGCCGAACAATCAGGAAGTGCTCTGCTCAAATGATTATATGACAAGTCCAATGCAACCAACTTGCTTTCTCCATTATTCTCTAGTTGGCACAATACCGAGAAAATAGATCCTGACAAGGAGTAGTGAGATGCAAATAAGGAAGAGATATTTGCTGGTAGCATGAGATTGGATATGTCATTGCTGATCAAGTTGTTTGAGATATCAACAGAATCTATCCCTAGCAGAAAGCTCCAAAATATTTCTGCATCAATTTTTGAAATTCCTGATCTAGAAATATCGAGATTTCTTGAAGACCTTTGTTTATATAGCCATGGTGGAACATTAGGACCTATGCTTGTATTACCCAAATACAATGTCTCGAGTTGAAATGGTGGGACCCATTTCAATTTGTCTGGAGAAATTCCTAAGGAATCAATGAGAGAGAATAAATACTAAATACAGTTAGTTAAGGGCAAAATAAAAAAAAAAAAAAAAGTAATAGAACTCAAAAAATGAAGCTTATATTTTGGACCAGACTCATCTCCAAAAGTGAAACTTATATATAGGACGGGAGGAAGTACTTTATTGTGATTTGATTCCAACAAAGGGCAAAATTGAAAAATCACGTTTCATTTTAACACGGAGATCAACTACCACTTCAACAATGATGAAATTAGTTTTGACCCAAAAAAAAAAAGGTAATGGTGAAATTAGCCAACTTTTCCCTTTAATTTTACTGAAGGACGCATCTGCTGGATGCGTAACAAAGGCCTAAGTCAAAAATAACTCCAAAATGAAAAGGAACAAAAGAAGAGGAGATGAAGTTAAGCCTTTTTTTTTTTTTTTGGCTCACTCAATTTGGCTTTCTATTATCAAAAAGAAGATTCTCCATTTGGTGTGAATCTAATGTCATCACCAATCAATCAAAAGATATTGACAATGACGGGTTCCTGTAGTGTAGAGTAGCATTGTGGAAAATTATGCGGATTTGGTTCCAGTTTTACTGAGGGGGAGGAGGCTCTTCCACACAAAGCATTGGGTCAGGCAATAGTTTGTGACAGGGTGGTTCCAAACCTCTTCCACGCCAATGATTTACAAAGGAAGTTTCCAGTTTCCTCACCTGTCATCAGTCACGCTATCACAAATAACATATAAAGAAAAAACCCGGTGCAATACTTTGGCTTTTGCTGTTGTGTTTTTCAATCAAATTACAACACAGGATTTTTTTTTTTTAAAAAAAAATATATATAACTTAGCAGTGAAGAGAGAAAAAACATTACACATAGCACCTAAACATGAATTGACACCAACATGTAAATTATCTATGCATTGGCAGTCAGGGACTTAGCAGTGAATAGAGAAAAACATTACACATAGCACCTAAATATGAATTGACACTAACATGTAAATTATCTATGCATTAGCAATCAGGGATTTGCAGCTTCAACTGACAAGACCAACCACAGGAACAGCAATATAGCCATAAGTAAGTGAATGCACCGCTGATGCCAAAGTGTGGCCATTATCTCCAGCACATAGTCTCAATTATTTAAATGGAGACACTTGATAAATGAAATGGAAAGATGCAACTGAAGAACTATAAAGCTATATATGTACAAACAAACGGTTATTGAAGATTGAGGAAAGGTGAAGAAGTACTGATCATGAAATGACAAAAGATGGATGCCCATTTGTAAATAACTAATTGATAATATATGTGTATTTGGGTGTCTCTGTGTGTCATTGTCTGTGTCTGTGTGTCTGTGTTCATGTATAATGAAATGGTAAGATGTGATTATGCTGCAAAAGCAAGCAAATCTAACGCTAACTTTGGTAACTATGACAAAGATGAACTTGTAAATAAGGGACATACTGAAAATTTGAAAAAGATACCACATACGAAACAACATATTTCAAGAATGAAATACAAAAATTTTCAAAACATCAGGAAGCTGAAACAAAGGAAAGGGGGCAAAAGAGCATGTTGCACTTGGTTCACATTGACATACATAAATATTCTTTAATGTGTTTGCCTTTGGCAAATAATTGTAGATATGCGTCATTTACAGGGAGCAATAACTTGGGTTGTGCTAATTAAGAACCATTATCGAACTTCACATATGATTGGGAACAAGGTTTCCTTCCTAGTCTACTCGTGGTTTATACTTTTGATATTATTAGTATTCAGTTCCATTAACTGTCTCTTGAAGGAAGCAGAATAGAATTTTTGCTGAATGGTTTTCTCTCTGTTTTTTCCCTGTTTCCTTCATTCCTATAAAACACTCCATACAGAGTTGTCTCATTTCCCTTTTATTAACAAAATTTTCTTCTTCAAAACAGAAGTCAAAAGATAATAATAAACAGGGAAAATTACAATGCACCTAAGAAAAGCTACGTGTCATAAGAAGCAAACCTGTCGAACAACAAATGGCTCCCTGGCAAGACTAAACCGTTCGGTCAAAATAGTAAGAAACCCATTTCGATTGCCATAAACAATGTCAGTGAAGGGCCGATCATCCACCTGCCATAATATACTCATGCTGGGACAAGAATTCTCAAAATATGAAACAAAACTAAGTGACAATGAACTATTCTAAATTTTTCTTTACCATGATTAGTTGTGAGGACTCAACCAAAATGCTTTTCAATTTCATCGGCTGATCCAGCTGGTTTCTTCACCCATAAGGCATGCAAATATATAAAGACATCAACACCAACAATACGTTATTACTGACAATCCAAACGAATATTTCACGTCTAACGTTTAAAGACAGGAGACATGTCCCAAAAGAAACACTTACTGTGCCTTATGACTCTAATCCCGATTGCCTCCTCAAGCGCCTTAGCTTTGGAACCATCATGATCATACTCATGAAGTCCTAATTCATCAGACACAAGTAACATAACAGAAGTCCTGTAAGCAACATGCCCGTACCGAAGAATTCAGAACAAATTGCTTCATGCCTAAAAGCACCAATATTGACACTGATACAGACAGGAAATGGAAGACGCACTTCAAACAACAAAATATAAGTGTTTTAGATACGTATTGGCTTAGAGGTACCAGCACTCCAAGATCCACAGGATGAAATATACGGTGTTTATAAATAATCTAAGTACCATATCTATTTGACAACAAGATTCTTTCTTTGAAGTATAGCTACAGCTACTTCATAGCTTATAGAATACCATACAGCTCCAATTCTGAACTAGCTTCATACTACACTTACCAGCAGAGTTACTGAAGACAGCAATACAAGGATCAAACGCCGATTTACAACGTTCCATCGAAGAAGCAAGAGGAGGCCAAAGGGTCAAACACTAAGGAGCAGTAATGGTATTATCCTTATCAAACACGACCTCTTCGAAACCCCTTCTTCGCAGCTCACCCTAATCGATGTACCTCAAGTCCGGAACAGAAACATGAGGCAGTGCTAATTTGGGGTCTTTCACAAACAAAAACGTCGAAAAAATGGCCTCCAAGTTTATTCTCTGCCCTAACGCCGCTTTCACATCTGCCCATCACATGCTTGTGAAATGTCCCCGCCTTTCCTCGTCGTTCCCGAAACTCTTTTGCTCGTCTTCTTGTGGAAGCTTTTGGTATCTGGGTTCTGGGTGTTGATTATTGGTGTCTTTGTAATCAGTAGAGAGAAGAAACTGAAGAATCAGAGAGTGGCTCTGGCTCTGATTTGAATTGGAATTGACGAAACTCCAAGGATTTCTTAGAGTCAGAGTGGAGAAATCTCTAATTGAGATTTTGCTGTGAGTAGTAGAAAGCGATAGAGTGGTAAGATTTCTCTGGTGATCGGCATTGCTATGAAAATTCAGAGGCTTTGTACGGAAGGAACAACAACTCGGAAGGGAAGCAGCCGCACCAGCTGCAGGCATTTTTATTTTTATCTTAGACTGGGCTCCTTTATTCCTGCAAAAAATGGACTTCCAAATTTCAAGTTAATTTTAGTTAAATTTAGAGCTTGTGACATCCTTGAAATCTAACATAGTAACGTAATACT